GCGTCGTTTTTTTATACCTCTCGGAACGCGCTGTAGCCAGGGAACTCCTGTCCCATGCCATGTTACTATACGAAGAACAAGAGTTCCCTGGCTAGAGGTGATCAGGGCGTTCCACGTACTGCATATACGGGATCCAAGATTTTTTAGCGAGTACGTTTATTACCTGATCGTAAAGATATAATGCTTCGCATTCGCTTGGAAAGATCGCAAACGTGACGCGTTGAACGTCACGAGAACAATCACTACCACTTTGTTACCTGTTTACAATGTTTAAATAGCGGACTTTTGTCCGAAGCAATAGTCGCGGATATATAATAGGGGATAATATATGAACCAATAGACCAGGACGAACAAGAAAGCATAGGGAATAATCGCTAGATACCGGTTGTATAGAATGTGATCAATGCAATAGTTTATTATTACAATTACCTATAGATAGATATATAGATACTCCTAGTCAGGATGGCACCACGATATTACTTGTTGCAGTATTTCACGCGTTTATATTACAGACTTCAGGTCTCTTTCTATTTTTTATTCGTTTCCCAAACCCGCGAACCCCCATCTATTTTCATCCCCCTTCGTTCGTTTCAATCGACCCTGCTTCTTTCTCCAACCCCCCACTACGTCCACCATCCATTCTCTCTTCTTTCTTTCATTTTTGTTCGTTCGTTGCGTTACAGAGAAAATCAAAGTCTAACGAGAGTTTGTCTCACAACGATACGCCTACCGTAAGGTATCAAAGACAATAGTTAATAGAGCATTATTTAGTATTTAAACGGTCGTGCGCGACCTAGGGTATATTAGCGAAAGGACATTATTTGTTCCCGTTTTCGTTGTCTCGTTCTTTCCCGAATTTTCTTGTTCGCGTTGCATGTGTTCTTTTCGCGTTTCCATTTCTACATTGCATCCGCTTCTTTTCGCGCGTATTTTCCTCCTTTTCTCTTAAATACGACATCGGATCGCGGACGGGGGGTCCGCGTGTTCAGCCAAACGACGATACGTATGACAGTACTACCTCATCGTTTTTTATAAGAACGCATACAAAACCCAGGGAACACTGAGAGACCACGATAGAATAACACCTGTACATTCCGCACAGCCGCTACTACTCGTCCGGTTAGGCTCGGAATTATTCTCCTGCTGTTATACCCTGAGTGACAGGGTACGAGCGTGGATCACGAAGCTTTTCGCGGGAATTCCACTTTTCAGATATCTTTATCGTACCGTACTCGCTACTCGTAAATAGTAATCTACATTTGTCAAAGACTACTTGTGATAATTCTGTGACCTTACACGTAACGGATCGTACAAACCACCCCCATGTATCTTCGACCCTTCGCACTCGCAGCTTCGTTTACTGTAAGCACACGGCAGCTCGAGCTTTTCCTACTATAAATATATTTTGTACAATAGCATAGAAACGGGATCATGGTATAAATTAACGCATAGAAACTACGTTTCGTGTCAACGTTTCGCGTGTCGAGTTATTTTGTAATAACAGCGACGAAGTTATCGTCGTGTCTTACTCGTGGTTCGAGTTGCTGTGTGAGAACAAGCGGTGATCAAATAGTCGTCTATCGAGTGCATAGGGTCAGTCTAGCTCTATAATGTTCGCTCTGTAAAAGTTCTTTACAAACGTACAAATGTCGCGTCGATTAAGGAATTCTCAGCCGGGCGAAAAGCTTCGCGGATCGCAAAGCACACGTGATATATAAGCTCTACATACGATTATATAGTAGTTCCATTTAATTTCTTTTTTACGAGACCATTATCTCATACGTACACAACTGTATATGTACAACTGACGACTATAAGCACAATGAGCCACGTGAGTGTGAGTACGCGTGTGTGTGTGCGTGAGAGAGTGTGCGCCAGACTGCGTGACGATTTACAAAGGACGTTTACCTCGGTGGAGGGAATCGCGTTCCTCGCGAGGAAAATCGCGAGAGCAGTGGAAATTTTCAAAACTAAGCGACGATAATTCGATCCGCTACAGAGATCCAAATTGCGAGAAATGTTTGAACGCGGAAAAAAAGTATCGCGAGATGTACAGGGTGAATTGGCGAAAATGGGTGAAGCGACAGAAAGGGGAGAAAAAAGGTCGACGTGAAAATTAAGGAAAAATTGAAGAAAAACTGATGAAAAATTGATGAAAATAAGGGTCGAGTGCACGCGTGCTCGCTTCGTCGACGAATTTCGCGGCTCGCGTTTAATCGACGTGAAAATTAAGGAAAAATTATTAAGGAAAAATTGAGGAAGAACTGATGAAAATAAGGGTCGAGTGCACGCGTGCTCGCTTCGTCGACGAATTTCGCGGCTCGCGTTTTCCGATCATCTCGAAGGGGTTGGTTTCTGGGTGATGACGAGGTTGGACGAGGAAAAATTTGACGAAAAATGAAAATGCAGGAAGGTAAAAGCTGACGAACAGGTGATGATGACGTGAAAAAGGGGTGGAAAAGGGAAAACGATGATTCGAGGCGTATTTAGGAGGGTAAATCGGGGGAAAATGTTTAGATCCGGGCGCGAGGGTGATACCGATCTTCTTTTGGGGCTGACTAACGGGCGAATTTCTCGAGGATGGGCTACGAAAAGATTTTTAGACGACGTGAAA